GTAGAGTTTAATGTATGAAGAGAAGTGCGTCGTTTTCTTGTTCAGCAATCGCAAGGTTTTTAAACAGCATACATTTACTTTCATAGAAAAACACAGTACAATGCAACGCTAGCTGACGTCTCGGCAGTATCGCCTTCTTCAGAGCCAACTATCCTCCACAGGCGATCCTCCAAATACAAAGCACAAAAATGTTCCTTCGTTGCACACTTCTTCATTCTGGCAAACATCTCGTGAAGAAGGCGATGCTGCCGAAACGTCAGTTAGTGCTGTATTGCATTGTTGTGTTTTTCTATGGAAGTAAATGTATGCCGTTTAAAAACCTCGCGATTGCTGAACAAGAAAACGACGCATTCAGGACAGTCTCAAAGCCCGGAAGTCGGTGGATCAAGCATGGTCATAACGATGGGCCATTGCTGTACATACTGCGAACTTTCTACATCCTGTGACATTCCTTATCGAAAAGCAAATCTCCGTGAAAGAGAATTAGTGGACGCTGTGGGTCAAGCTCAGATAGACAAATTGCGTCTTCGCTTTGAGTTTGCACTAGTTTTCAATACATACCAATACTTATACTTATACTATATATATTTACACCATTTTCAGGAGTGCTAGTGCGCACTTATCTCAGGCTTATCAAAGATACCTGCAGAGATACCTACAAACTCATGATGCCGATGTAACTCTAGCACATCGGAGACGCGGAATGAGTGCCCAGGAGAGGGAACGTGGAAGCATTTCGCATTACTTGCAAACAGTTCATGGATAAATCATACCACTTGCTACTATGCCATGGAGCAAACTTATGGCAGTATGTCGCAGTTTTTCAAAACCATACACACGACATTCATAAGCACCGAATCGTTATGACGACGTTTTTTATGCTAGACCTATTTTACTTCGACAAAAGCTTGGCTCAAAAGAAGGAGAAAGACAATGTGAAATCTTAAAGGGCATGAACACGTAGAGATCAGCTTTATTTCTGGACCAAAAAACCAATATCACTATAATCTGCGTCCCTCTGTCAAGCGTGGAGAAAGAATTTCAGTGAAGGCATTCAGTGTTTATCACTGCACTCAGCTGTTGCACGATGTTGTTGGCCATGATAGTGTTGGCCACCTAGAATCATCCTAAAGCATATTGTTCTCCTACCAGAAAATGTTTTCTTTTCAAAAAAAAAGGTTTCATACGGAGATCTATCGTTTCGTAATACTGTTTAGTCAGATTGGAATGGGATAATATTGGAGTGGAAATCGATGGTCCGAAGTTACATCATCTTCGCTTCGCTGATGACATCGTGCTTACGACACCAAACATTAGCCAAGCCAAACGTATGCTTGCCGACTTTGACAGAGCCTGTGGAAAGATTGGTCTCCGGCTAAATCTCACAAAAATCATATTCATGAAGAAAGAATTGGTTTCGCATGCTCCATTCACGCTCAACGGAACGAATATTTCCAAATGGCTCCAGTTATGGCTATCTAGGTCGGGATTTCAATGTGATGAACGACTTAGCTCCAGAGCTGAGCAAAAGGACACGAGCGGCTTGGGGAGCCTTCATGAGCATCGACAATGTAGTGAAGGGACAAGGAACGCCCGACTCCGTGCCTACCTTTTCGACTCAACGGTACTCCCTGCCCTAACGTATACTTCAGAAACCTGGTCGCTGCTTAAGCAGGATGAAAGGTCACTCAGCGTTATCGAACGCACACTCGAAAGGTCGATACTAGGAGCATCCCGTTCCACACAAGTAAGAGATGGGATCCGAAGCTCCGACCTGCGCCAACGATCAAAAATCAAAGATGCCGTTCTGTACGCCAAGCAGCCGAAGATAAGGTGGGCCGAACACGTAATGCGTATAAATGACAACCGATGGACAAGAGCCGTTAGTGATTGGATTCCTCGGGATGTCAAACGTACTGCAGGAAGACCACCGATTCGATGGTCAGAGTTCTTCACGAGAAGCCTAGAAAAAAAGATATGATGTTCGACGAGTCCCTAGAGCGGGCAGAACCCACTGAGCTACTCTTGCACGCGATAGGGAACAATGGATGATTTACTGGCGCCCGCTCGAGTCATTCGACGATCAACGGGACTACAGGTGATTTAGTCATTGAATTACACTGCAAGAGGTGGCAGTGTGAAATCAGTTTTTTTGTAATGAGACTTAAAATGGATTTCCGTTGACGAACCGAAAGACAGTACATCATTGTTTTCCGTAACACAGTCATCTCTTACACTTCATTTATGCTCCTCGTTTCGCCCCCTCGCTTATGAGACACGTTACGGTGCTACCAGGTTTTGATCCTCCTCCCATGTTCCTTTCGTTGAGAATAAATGAGTAGATGTGAACACTATATTACCTTCTAGCATGGCATCCATAAGTGTTTTGAACTTCCCATTTGTCCAATTTTTCTCTGTGAGCAACGTAACCGACACGGTAATATTCGAAGAATTTGAAAAAGTGAAATCCCTGTCGAAACTGGACGAGGCCAGTGGTTACAGACAGTAATTGGTTACTTGGTGACAACAAGTTCTCACCTGCTCCAGTTTTTGTTTGGCATTTAGGCGACCGTATCTTTTTACCCGTTGCTCATTAGTGTTAGCTGACTTCTCCGAATGGAGATCCTTAAATAGTTCCTGGTTGTTAGCATTAGTAAACAATATCCTCTGAGGAGTAAAACGACTGACCTTTACAAAAAGATTGGTGAGCTTTAGCATCTCTTGTATGTGATCGCTGTTCGCCTGCTCACAGGACGAGAATTTGTTGATGTTCTGAGATGGTGCATATTTCATAGTTACTAAAAGTGCATTGCGTTCCAAGTCAGAATCGTCAATAGAAAAGGCGAAACAGACCATTCCATCAAGCCATGTCTTCTGATTAAGACGGGAGAGCATCTTTTGTTCTCGCGTGGTTAATTTATAAGCACAATTCAGTGAGTAATATCTGTAACTGCTCTCTTTATGTACTGTCTATCCATCAAACTAATAGTTCGTCCATGGATATCTGAATGACGACAGAATGCACAGATTTGCCAAAGAATCTACGTATAGTTGTGTTATCGACATCGTCTCACCTCAATCCTAACCCATGAACTGTGGACACCAAACTGGGCCTTACTAGATGACCCATGTTGCTGGTGGTCTGACGAGCTTCGGCAGTTGGAGCACAGAGTCGAGGATTCACTGCTAATGGATTAATTGAACGAAAGGCGTCCAACATGACCTAAACTACTCTCGTAGCAGTTTCTGAATAAAGAAACGAAATAAATTCCAATTTTATTACATTTCCGATAATAAAGCTCTACTTAGGTTAGACTACAGTCACTTGTCACAGATGACACTAAATTAGCTAAGGTGATTTGAAGACGATAAAGTCGTTCAGACACTACCACGGTTTTGTAGAAAAAGCGCAATGGTGGAAAAATAGTGCTTCCTTGTAGAAGTAGGCTGTCAAGCACATAAGAAAACAAAAATTCGCATGGAAAATTTTCAGCAGGGTTATAACAAGATTTCAAAAAGAACCAACTCGGCCAGCACTCAATGGCATTCATGAGAAAGCCAAAGCCCTGAATTAAAGGCATAACTCCTAAAGAAATCCCGACATTTATGGGTGACGAATTGAGTAAGACAAACCGAACGAAAAAATGCTGAGCGTACAATTTATGAGGTTAGGATATATGAAGAAATGAACAAATAAACGAACAAAACTTACTGGCCAATCAAAAGTTTCGCTCTTTTGACTTTCGTGGAATCCGCGCTACAGTTCCACAAGTCGTCACTACAGGCTGCCGCTGGCGTTTATAGATTGAAGAGAAATTTTATATGTTAATAATTTGCTACGATGATGATAATTCCTGGCATTGGATTGTTCTAAGGTTGGTCTCCAGATGGAAGTATTGAGCGCTTTTACAACTTGGGAGACCCATTTGGAAATAAACTGCTTTTGTACGCCGCGTTTCGAATACCAAGTAACGCGCCCAGCAATGGTGAAGTGATAAACCATTAAGGAGATGAACAGTCTTACGAACAACATAACGATTTTGAACCCATAAAATTCCGTAAAAACCTCACATTTCCTTTAACGCTTTGTATTGGGTCCACCACCAGAGCGATAGCTCTCGGATGAAGGGCTTCGAAGGACTGCTGAGTGCTCACGTCAACGCTAGATAACCAACATCCAAATCCTGGATGTGAGTGGTACCTGAATGTATAAGCAGCACAAAAATGGAACGTTACTTGGCAGATTTCAATGTGCAGCAACCATTCCGCCTTTGCCTTTAGTACAGAATGTCCAATTACCATCCAACCACCATCTCTACGCGTCCGGTTTGTTTCAATAGATCCAAGTGCCTCGTCTGATAGACAGGATCCACGGACTCAACAGTAACACTCTAAAAGATAAAAAATCCAAGAGATCGAGATAAGATTATTTCAATTGACAGAAGATCTACCTATCGCTATCTCACTGCCACGTCAAGCGTTTGTTTCGATTTTTAAAATATGAAGTCTGTTTAGGCTCCTAAGATCGCCTTTCTATTGATTTCGGCATAGGATTATAAATGCGTCGTTTTCTTGTTCACAACTGCTTTGTTGTTATACAGTATACGTTTACTTCCTTACAGAAAACACATACAAGGTAATCGGAGCCGACGTTTCGGTAGTATCGCCTTCTTTAGAGCATAAAAGGGTACACTGATATATAATTTACAATGCCAAACACTTCAATGACACATACAGAAAGGTGAGACTCTATATGGAAATCACATGATCGACAGCTTCTGAGGAAACCCATCGTTACCACTTGTCTTCCATTGAGGAAAGACAGCTGATTAAAGTCGTATATGGTTGATGACCGCACCACTCCACATGGGGAGATACTGGACCAGGTTTCGTGTGACCTCTGGGAATTTCTTCCTGCTATTCATTCCAGGGTTCCTAATATTTATCTAAAAAGTCTCAAGAAGTTTGTGCGGTGGTATTCTAGTCTCTTGTGCGAGAATAGTGACTTTTACATCTAAATTGTCTCCGCTATGCTTTTGTATCCTATGCATGCCTTGTGGGGTACTTTGTCTTAGTTTTCGTTTGCATCTAGGTGTTCATCTATACGGATACATAAAAGCTTGCCCGTTTACCTGCTAAGGTGAAGGCACGTGAAAACGGTTGATTTTCGAGAATCTGTTGAATGTGTAATTACCATTTAGATATTCATCTTTCTGTATGTGTCACTGAAGCGTTTGGCGTAGTAAATTGCATATCAATATTCCAGGCTCTGAAGGAGGCGATTCTGCCGAGACGTCAGCTAGCATTCTATTGTTTGTTTAGGTTGTTTCTGGTTCTTCGATTTATGATCGCGCATAATGTTAAGTACACTGCTGCAACCTAATGACTATTCATTAGGTTATAAAAATCTCGTCTATAACTGCAGTGAATGCCTGCCTGCGAAGATATGAATACTCATGAATACTGATGCTATTCTTAACCCTTTTATCTACTGCCTTTTTTCTTAATGGTAGGGTATGTTGCGAAATATAACTCGTATGAAATGCTGAGATATTTGCAAAACTCCGGACCGCAGGTGTATGCAGTGGGGAACGAACACGCGCTGGTGCTGATGGCAAAAAGATCGATAGAACCAGTTGAGAGTCAGTCAAGACGAACGACCCGGATGGTATGATGGTGAAGTGCGCTGCTCCCCGATAAGGACAACAGCGCGTGTTCGTTCCCCACTGCATACACCTGCGGTCCGGACTTTTGCAAATATCTCAGCATTTCATACTGATGCTATTGCTTTTTGCCGTAAAAATATCGACAACTTTGTAGTAACACCACCGTTCTCAGTGCTCGTGATATCTCCCCAATGCTGGTGGGAATACTTCATGAAGTGAACCTATTCTTCGTGTGTGGGTTTCTACACCACAAACTGGACTTCTCAGTAACAGAAGTTCTTAATCAATCGGCGGTCACTCAATGGCAACACAAGGGTGGTACAGTAACTACCAAAAGAATGCTTCTAACACCACAACCAGATCAAAGTGAGGACGAATTCGTGGGAGCGTAACAAGGAGCTCGTCGTGGGGTACTCGAAATTCAAGAGCTTACAGTTCCACTTTGTGGCATAGCAAAAACATCCACGACATTGATCGTGTAGTCATCGACAAAGGTACCTAACATTAGACCCATCACCTGAAAAGAACGTTTCGAAATCCAGTCAGGGACAGAGAGACCGTACGCTAGCAAATAGGTGAAGAATGCCGTTAACGATTTTCTATACCTCTAATGGAACCCCACTTCTTGCGTGTCTTAACATTTTCAGAAGTGCTAGTGCTGAAATATGGACCGTCTCCGCTGTGTCCGGATGTGTTGGATCATCGGATACTTCCTTTGCGCCCATCTGTAAACCACTTTTCCTTCAATGTAGAAAATAAGCTACCACTTGAAAAGTCAAAGAAGTTAGGCATATTTACTACACGAAAATCTACTGTCTGGAGAATGTGAGTTGATTTCGTCATCAGTTTGATTCGAAAAGAATAACGGATTTTGTCATCTTGAAATTCATACATGCATTTTTATTCCCAACGATTTATCACAATACCAGCTTCCTGAAATTTAACCTACAATGACTTTATACCTATTTCAGCGATCCTTTCAAAGCATGAAAACAGCACTGGTTTGTTTCATAAATTCAAATTTGGAAATAGAAGAAAGGTTTATCTACTTATTCGTATCAGTGGATTTCACACAATGTTTTGGCCCCAGTATCTTTTCAAATCGGTTTGTTGTCTCGCACGTGTCTTCCACGAAGATCTTCGTATTTGTGTTTATGTTCGTCAGCTAGATGGGATTTTCGGTCTTCTTTGATGAAAATTGTTAAGTGCTAATTACTTATGTCGTCAAAATTTAAGTTGGCAAAAGGTTTCCGACTGCATTACCACTGATGTTTCTTCAGGTTCCACACCGCCCACTGGCGTCTTCACGACGGGAAAGGTCGTTGGTGCCTATCACAAGTTCATGACGACCATCCGAAGGCGAGATCGGCGTTTTCAAAGTAACTCAAGAAGTTGTGTAAAGACATATCATCGTTCGTTCAACTATTATTAGAATATTATCTATTATCACAGCACTACTTAAATACCTGAACGCTGTGGAACCAGTTTAAAATTGCAGTCAGTGTTCTCAGACACTCTATCAAAAGGCAGTGCTAAAGGGTTACTGCACCACGTTACTAAAATTTAAACAAATGCGGAAAACACGATGTTCTTCGAGTTTCGTGAGGAAGCAGAACATACTGGATAACGTTAGATTCGACAGTAACATTTGAAGACAGCGCTGCGCGCTGGACTCATTTCTTGGCCAACCCAGGAGTTAGTATTGGTAATTTTTAGGAAATCTATGAACAGTTGACCAATCTTAATTCCTGAACACACAGAGCTTGATGAATTAGAAGTACGTACATTCATAGCCAACCCACGCAGAAGACGGTCCATTATTATACAATCACTTGAAAATAAACTTTGAGAACATCGACGTCTTAAATACTCCAATGTTTATCATCGTTTGATAATGATTCTGAGATACTATAAAGCGCAATAATATTTCGAACTACCTTTTTTTTAACCACAGTATGACTAATCAATTCGTAATCCTTCTTTGATAAGCTTACATAAGGTTGATATTCTTTATTTTCGGCTAACGCTTCGATGCCTTCGTCTTCCTCAGAGCCGATGATCCTAGTCGATGTCCACATTCGTTCTTCAAGAATATTTATCAACCAAGGGTAAGTTTAGAAAAAAAGAATACATATGATTCTGAAAACCCTTTAAAAACAATAGATAAACAACCCTTATGCTAGGAAAACAGCTGATGACAGGCACGACCGTCTGATCAAATGACTAATAAAGTCTCTCTTTGCAAGGTGTGCACCTAAAAACAAGGACAATTCACCGTTTTAACAAACATCTAAACGTCATCATTGCTGTGAAATCTTTTTCGGCTCCAAGTGAACTAATAAAAACGAGCACATAGTGAAATAACACTGGTACTAAACCGACTTCGACTTAGCCTCAGACCAAATAACTAATATACTTCTTCCAATTCCTCAACTTACACGAAATTACCCGATACGGGCGATCGACTCTGAAGAAGATGGAGACGCCGAAACGTTAATCGAGTAGGACTTACATAACAACCTCGTATAAGCTGAACTATTCGAAGGAATGTATTAAAAGTTTATTTATGGAATGCATAAAAATTTGAAACACGTGTTTACCACCTTAAATTTAGTCAGAAATTATGATGTTAATGGATGCTATCCCCAAAAGTTAATATGTTGACGTCAGCGTATCTCGAAAATCCAGCTTACTTTTCGCCTCAAGGAATTTTAATCAAGAAGGTGAACCGTGCCCGACATGGCCAAGTCACAACTCTAAAGCTTGGGTATACATCAATACACAGTGAAATGCTTTACAACAAAATGTGCAGAGGGCGGATAGCACAGTGGTAGCGGTGTCGGTCATCACGAGCGTGTAGCTAGTTCGATTCCGCTCTGGACCAACCAAGCCTGTCATCCCTCCGGGGTCAAAAAATTGGTACCGGATTTGTCCGGGAAAAAATCCCCTCCTGCAGTCCGATTGGGGACGCTGCAGCCCGTCTATCTCAGGACTCCAGAGGGAATTTCTCGACCAGTGTTCTACGACATTCAAGATGAAATGGAAGTCTTCAAGCAGTAGCCGAAGCCACACGAAAAAGCTGGAAGATCTTCGTGGACAATGGATGTGAGGAAACGAATTGAATGTGAGAAGTGCTGGGATCCGCACAGTTGACGTGAAGAAGGGTCATTTAAAAATTTAAAAAAACAATATGTGTTAAGTTGACCTAACAGATCAAACCAATAATACCTAGACCACAACGATGATACAAACAAAAAGTAAAATGGAACACATGGCAAAACTGCATCATTCACGACCACGTCTCGTACTGTACACGACCTGAAGTCTCCATTTTTAACAGGAATGAATCTTTCGTCCAACCACGTTCGGCTGCAATCTTGTCAAGAGCTGCACCAACTTCTCTGGGCATATCGCCTGCACTTCCAGCAATGAACACGAATCCTATGAAACCAGAATTTAAAAAACAACATATTTAGTTACCAGCACGTTATTCACCGTTCTGTTCTCCAATTATATTCCACACGTCGTCGGCGTGTTTTAACATCAAATGCTGAACATATACCTGTAACACAAAACTTTGAAACCAAGTATTAGCGCTTACCATGATTAAGACATTAGATAAAACTTATCTACCGATTATATTCTATAAGTCTTATTTTCTCATCCGACGAATTAATTTCATCTGTAAAAAGTTATCCTAAACAATGTGTTCCATTTCAACCATGTATACAAGGGCGGACCACGTTGCCCTTTTCAAAGCCTGCAAATATTAGCGAAGCTTTTCGTGTAGCCGACTAAAGAAATTGTAGAAGGCAAAACTTCTTGCTCGCTCACATTCACACGTGTTGATCAAACAACATTCCCAGAGGTAAAACAACCTTACACGTTACTATCACTTGTAGTATTCTTCCTCACACAAATTTTGCTGTCTTCTCTATGCTTTTGATGTTCTAGTAAGCTCCTATAGCCACTGGTTCAATCCTCATCAATTTTATGGTGTAATCGTTTAGCATGTTGCATTTTCAGTAAGAATACACATGTTGGAATACTCAGAGTTATTTGTTCTGCCGATCGTGAATGGGACATTACAAACGAGGTCTTTGCCAACGAAGATCGTTTTCTTGTACGTGAGCCATGGATCGAATTCAACATACGCTCTACGGAATTCTGCTATCATCCATTACGTCTGGAAAATACTTGATGTTAGAAGAACGACGTCACAAGCGAAGATTATGTTTCTGTCAGCTATCAACTTTCACTACCGTGTTATGCTAAATTACTTTTCGCATGTCATTTTTGAAAATAACGCCAAGCACTTTCAACCAAATGACATCGCATTGTCGGACCACATTTTCCGCCAATGATAAGACAGTTACTGTCAAGCAAATTTTCTACATAACTCAAGAAACATCTTTGTGTATAAGTGAGGGCTATCTTGCTGCTCTATAGTGGGACCTCTCTTTTATATGAAAGCCCTTATTTAAGCCGATGAAAATAAGACATCTCGACGCCTCGTACTCTTCATATAGTTCCGCAACAAATCTTGATATATTTCAACGCACAAAGCTGTCTTCGAATATGATTTTTACATATGAGCTTGTAGACGAGAAGGTATGCGGACTTGGCAACATCGGTATTATCCAGGTTAACACGATGACTTTGCTATTATTTCACCATTTGAGCAACCTCAAACTTCGACACCGAGTGCAAGAACATTCGGTCAAGCCTTTAAACAGAAATGATTATTTAGATTTTCGAATCTGAAAACACGGAAGAGAAGCAACGAGAGATTGCTGGGAACATATGCGGTATTATTCCTGAACACTTTCTCCATCGAGATGATGCATTAGATTCCAGAAAGAATAATCTTTAATACAACATATCCATTCTCTCTGAAAAGACATACGGGCAAATACATGTGAATTTCACGAAGTCGAAGTGTAATTCATGGACAAATGTTCCAACGGCTCAGCTGTATGCACGAACTGTTCCACATGGAAGTCATAAAGTAGTGTTGATCAGTGAGAATGAACAAAATAAGCTTTGCATAGGATAATTGGCCGAAACATATTCAAGGACAAAATTAGAAATCATACATTAATTTCCGGACAATCCATGATGTGACCACTCAATACGGTCTTTTACCGCTATAAAAAAGTCAGTAAGGGAACGAAAGAAGAAGGATCCCAGCGATCGAAGACAGTGAGGTACACAAAGGGATGCGTCGCTAATTACCAATGATCCATAAAACATTGTCAAACGCACCTTTTGTCCAACAGTATCCCGACTAAATGCAGTCACCAGTTGCGTTGCTGACAAATTATTCCATTCGTTCTCAAAATAAAAATCCAGCTCTTTTCCACGACATCCAAAAAACAGCATTGAGTTAGCAGCACTCTTGCACCTAAAAAAGAAGTTCAGAGAGTTAAAAAATAACATTCGTTGAACATTTAAACAGAAAAGAAATCTTTTCCTCCTTTTGAACTTCTGAACACTGGTTATCCAGAAGAAAACGCGTGTGGTATTTTTGAAGATGATTGTAAAACGATCTACGAGCGCTACTATATCGTCCAAATTTCCATAAAATTTTATCTCTTACTTACCTATTTCGCCAAGTAAAGTAGCTTCTAAACGGTGCCACTCCGGTACCAGGGCCAACGCAGATAACTGGTACATCTGCCTTCGGAAATTTGAAGGTCCCGGAGCGAATTTTCACAAAAATCTAAATTCGGTGAAAACATGCTGTGTACCCCCAATTTCCCATGTTGTTTTCCGTAAACGTAGAAAAGAAACTTCTAGAAAAAAATGTCTGAAAAAGCTACCTATGGTTTGTTTGCTATAGACTCCACTAGATTATGGGATTAATTTCCAAGTAATTGGATCAATCTTGTACATTATTAGAAACAAAATATACTAATAAGTAATATAGACGGAAACAAACATAAGTGAAGTAGAGCGAAAAGTGGGAATCACTTGCTAAAATCTTTTTCTAATTTATAATACAAACTTCTGAGCTATTATACCAATCTTAATGCCAACCCAGAAACAAATGGTGGCCAGGGGTGTTCAAAGATAGGGAAAGTATCACATTTCATAATGACACTAGAATCTGCACACCAGAATCCGAAGTTCTGCATGAGTTCTCGACAACTACTTGCTTTCAGTATCAATAAAGCAGCACAAAAACTGTTGTTGATAAATGCGGTATGTACAACTCGCGAGGAAGGTCTTGGACGGCACGAGTCCCGTATAAGTTATCACGCGAACGGTCAAAAACTTAGAGTTATCGCCAAAATAAAAATATAAAGACCTTAAGATACCTTATCTCCAGGGATTATATTAGATAGGAACGAACTGCATAAACCACGCCTCACATCAGACATCCGAGAACGATACTCAACCTGATATAAAAATGGCTTTGCATCTTCTAGTTTTTCATTCAAACCATCATTATACAGATCCCTTAGAGAGACAATCCTAGAAAATGCTGAGTTATTATGATTCGGTGCTTACTACCAAATCTTTTTGTCAACATGGTTTCAAGTATCGGAGAGATCTGTTTTGCTTTTCTTATTCTTAGGCTCCTCTTATCAAGCACAGCTGTATTACAGTTCCTCAAAACCACTTCCTAATAAGTAACAAGTGATCATAAATGTAAACAAAATCGTTGATGATGCGATACGAAGAAAAGTGATTACGCGAACCTTCACAACAAGAATTTGTATGACATCTGGTGAAGGAGCTGAAGCAATGCTGAATGCTCGAGGTCGGATGGTGGTAAACAAGTCGAAAAGACGTTCCGGTGGAATTGCCATCGACGTCTTCGGAAAGTCGCGAAGCACCTCGGCTGTAGTACGTCGGCTTCTGGTAGTGTAGTCCAGAAAATCATCCTAAAGATGCATGTAATTAGCAATTAAGGATAGAAAAATGAACAGAAAACCACTCGAGTTGCCAACATCAAAATATATTAATATTCTTGAAATGTGCACTACATTCCACAAAAATACTAAATTTTGGTGATCTCAACACATTGACAACCACGCCTAATTCTCCTCGGCGCCCTTATGGGACTATGTTTGTTTTGGTGGATGTGTTTATCCAATTGGAACCAATGCGTACGGACCCTTTTTCGTCCTATAATTCCGTTTTATACGTAACATATTGCTGCCACCATTTTACAGTATTTTACACTTTCGGCCTATTTAACTATTTCCTGTACCTGCACATTCAATACGATAATTATGACTCATCATTACAACTGAAACGGAAAAAAACAATGGCCTGTGGTCAAAATACAGCTTTGTGTGCTTCAAGTAATGGACGATGCTCACGTTCAATAGCTCTCCATAATTTATCGCGAACTGGAGAACAAATCCTCGAAAATTTGAGATCTAGATAGAGTTACGAAAGAGGTTCTATTATGCTTAGGGAATGTATAACTTTTCCAAAGTGCTCTTTTAAATCCAATTAAAATTGAAATTGTGAAAAAAGAAACAGCCAGGATTTCATGACGATATGAAAGAGGAGTTGTACTTGATAAAGAGCTGCAGATCCTAATAGTCAAATATAATTAGATCAATGATAAATGGCAATAGCGCCTTTAGTCTTTACAAGATCTTAAGTGAACAGTTGATCTGGTGGAGAATTATTGATCTAATGGATAGAACCAACACATTTACACTACATATCTACGGCGATTTTTGTAAGCTGATTAGGGTCGACAGAAACAGATATGCGGCACACAAGGATGTGCCATGGAAAGCAACAAGTGCGAACGAAACGGTAATATTCATTGATCCTTTCCTGAAGAATTGTACTGTGAGACTGCAAAAGCCGAGAGATTAATAGACTCGCAGTTTTTCAGTTGCTTGCCATCCGGTCACACCCCATGCCGACGAGAATGAAAGAGATTTGAAACTGCTAGCAAACCTTCATTTTGCCAACAACACGATACAAGGCAAACTAAACTGCTTGTGTAAGATCAGACCACTAGTCAAGCTCATCAACAGGAATTGCTAAATAACGAAAAAGGCAGAATATATAGGAAGGTGTTTTAACAAATCCTTCGAGTCATTCATAGAAGGAATTTTCTTCCCTTGTTCAGACTGTGCTACACTTAAGACATCACTACACTTAAAGAATTTGAACCATAGATCTTATTTCATAATTGAAATTTTTTATCGAAATGCAAGTTTTTAAGAACGCCACTTTTAACATTTTAATTACGTGCTAGAAGATAGCGGCTGAATGTTTAAAAAAAAGGAGACCTGGTGTTGACTGCTACGAAAAATTAACAAAACATCACGACACAGAGTAGCAATGAATGCAGTCAATGTAGGAAGCATTTCTGTTCAGTTACCACAATGGCCTCAAAAATTGTGAACGGCATATTAGAAATTCATAAATTATATCCACCAGTACATGCGTGCGGTGGGGAACAAACGCGCTGTCACCCTTTCCGGGGGCTAACGCGTTCACCACCACACACACCATGCTCGTAATTCGTTTGACCCTTCTCTCAGCTGTATTACTGACCTATTGCTGCTATCAGCAATCACCGTCAACGGGTTTCATCCAGCGGGGCACAAATATTCGTTCTCCACTACAGACACTAGCGGTCCGGAATTTTGCGAATATCTCAGCATCAATATAGTTATATTTCACATAACACCTTGCCATTAAAAAAGAGTAGGCAGTGAATAAAAACTGACAACATTCTTAAATTATATAGTTCAGCATTACGCGTCATAACCTGTAGTTTAAGAAGGGAGTGGAATAACAGACCAAGCACATGTTACTATTCCACATCAGAACTTCGTTGTACATTACAGCACCGACAATAATATCAGTTGCACTTTACTTGTACGGCAAAAAGAGGAAAACGCTTTGAGACTCAGTAGGAGAAGCAAACACATTCTACCAATGGGTTTTGTAGATTATGTCTAAGAAAGAGGTTCTCTGGATTGAAGTTATATTTCAGTGCAATAATTGAGACGAACAACCTATCAATTTTATAGCGCGAAACAAGCTTCCAAGGTAAAAAGGGAAACAGCCATGAAGAAAATCGACTGAAACAGATCGATGTAGCCGCGATTGGGTTCGTAGAAAGTGAAAAACTCTATAGAACCTTTAACAGAAGTAAACGTCTTTCCTATTCTAATGGTCAGCAAATTAACGAAATCAATACGCACTAACAAGTAATAAATAGAGTAACATTATGGTCAAGCCACAGAAATGAGAAGTTAACTGATGAATAATTTGAAATACTTCTATAAACAACAAAAGTTACATACCAAACCTTCAGGACTAATGAATTCAAGCAGCTTTGCCTTCTCAATGGAGTCGGTAGAAATGCTAGCCAATGTCTGGAAGAACGACTTTCTGGGTACCATTTGTAGATCGAACAATCGCATGAAACATGTTCTCAGTGAAGTTCGGCCTATATTCAAACGATACTCGCAAAAAAATCGCGACAAAAAAATTAACATAAAGTAATGCTGAGATATTTGCAAAACTCCTGATCGCAGGTGTCTGCGGTGAGGAACGAACGTGCTAGTAAACGCGTTCACCACCACACTATACGGGTCCTTCGTTTTTACGACGAAAACGACTCACAGCCAATCAACCAACTAGGTGGCAGCTTCACAAATTCGTCCGAAGGGACGAGCCGTAACGTGCGATCTAACAAGTCTTCTGGATATTTAAGGGCTTCCAGAGCAATTTGAACTGATTCAAACAAATTAAACGGTTGCACCATAAGTACGTCTCCAGGTTCATAGCTCGATAAGCAATTACTGTAATGTTTCGAGATGATCGTATGGCTCATAATAAAAAGAACAACATAGGATAAAAACGATGAAAAGGAGTAAGCACTTCATACTAAATGACTCACAGCTTCCGAGGAAGAGCTGAACACGAGAACGAAATTAGGCGAGTATCCTGAATAATCTATATGGGATTAAGAACGACTTACAGAAAACATATTTCAGACCTGAAAGTGGTTAGTTGCAGTGACTCTCTCGTTTGAATTCACAGTAACTTCATAGAATTCTTGAGTAGAAGTCGATTGTTTACTTAGCAAAACTTCATCATCGAATACTAGCCGATATTTTGCAGGCAATAATGATGAATAATCGATCCGTTCCTTCATGTTCTGCAATAACCTTTGGAAATTAGTTCAATCAAAGTAGAGTTACAGCATTTAGGTATGCTCGTGATAAAAGCATAAAGGATAAAGCTCTCGACGTTGATCAATCCCTTAGGGATACACCTATGCATTCGACCTCACTAAACATCGCTGGGGTGATTGAATGCATATCTCGCCTATACAATGACTCGTGTGTTGGCATACCGATGTATCGAGCCAGTGCTGCTATCCTCCCAGACAAATCTGGTACCAATTTGCCGACTCTGTAAGGATGGAAGGCTTGGTGAGCCTGCGGCGCGGGGATCGATCCCAAGTGTAATGCAGAGCGCCTCCTACCACTGCACCACACGCAACTCTCGCGATAACAGTAAAAAATTGCACATAGGAATAAATTCTGAAGATTGACCTCGAACAAATGCGTTGATCGTACTTTCTCCCAGAAATCTTTCTTCCATGGAATGAACGTCCCATCTATTCCTAATTCATGCTGGTCATCCGCTGAAATAGAGAAGGCGTTTTACAAACAGAGTAAATGCAACATAAGTTTCAATTACAAAACCACTGAAAGATAAACAGTTAAAATGGTAGACAAAATGTGGAAAAAGATCTTACCCAAACCAATGTCTAGAAGACACTTGCCACCCAATTGAAGCAACCTTCGATAAACCTTCTTAGACGCAAAATTGAACTTCTGATAAGAAGAATCTCCTAGTCCGAGAACAGCAAAGCGCACCTGCAACCCACCCAAGTTCTTCTAGAAAAAAATTAGAAATATATCACTGTTTGCAGACCTAATAATGAGATTTTAGGAGTTCTCCTAAGGGGTTACACCCGCAAGGACGCACAGTGATGCTCCTTATTCTTGAACTGTGATACGTTCGACTATTCCAATCTGGAACTCCAGATAAGTGTAAACTGATTCGGGGAACCACCATCGTCCTAGTAGCAAGCTATACTCAGGGTAGTGAATACCTCGGAACTCCATGGAACAGCAGATTTGTCAACCAGGAATTGACCATTCTCAGTAATCTATTGCTCGCTCTCGCCTACGTTGGGCGGCAGTACAACCGGATAAAAGGTGCACGAATTCTACGGTGTACGGGGAATCTCTGTAAAGGACACAAGACGTCCATTTTCCTTATAAAGTTATGATAGTCTTCCCAAGTGTAGACCCTGAGATTGTTGACGCCACAAATTATATCAAAATCGTGATGACCATCTTATAAGAGATAAAAACCAGGAAGACCGAAGTACGCCAATTAGAACACGGGACTCTCGTCAATGGGGAAAAACGCAACTCCGTCACGCAGCACTGCTCACGTAGGCCTAGTCCTACATCCGTCTGTTATCCACGTCTTATCATGCGAGATCCTATCACTTTGCGTGTCATTTCTCCTTAATTATCCTTCGCGTCAAAAAAGCAGTATCTTCGGTTTACACTCACCGACTAGTCCAGCTGGTAATACCCAGTTGAATGTGTTCTAAAATCTCCTGGAAGAAATAATCCGCATGAAAAGTTCACTTAATCTAATGCATAAATCTAAAACGCCAGATTAGGAAGGACCAGCGAAAATAAATATCAAGGATAAAGGATGGAGCTCTCGGTTTTGATCAATCCCTGAGACACGCCACGGATTCGACTTCATGAGACATCGCCGGAAGTGACCAAATGCATATCTGGCCTATACAATGACTTAAAGTGGCCTACCGGTGTATAAAGTCAGTTCTGTTATCCACCCAGACGTTTAGTACTTAATGTACTTAAAGTACCCCGGAAGGAAGAAACGCTGGATGGGTTCGGAGCGCCGCGTTGAACCAGCAAAAAATGAATGTGGGATCGGAAAAATCGGACTAGGAGACCGAAAAGATAATGAAAAATGACTGATGAGGATGAAAGGAGATTTCTTGTGCTACACTTCACAACACGCCTCTTCCATAAAATTACTTCACGGAAAGAAAGAATGTCGCCATGTAACATGGGAATCACTTATCGTACTTGTGCGAAGACCAACTATATTTTCATAAACAAAAGATGGTGCCACTTTGACACCTTCAAAGTGCCATCATTTTGTAGTGGACCTGATCACAGCCTTTTCAGTTCAAACATGAAATCTAGGAATATCTGGAAAAGAACTCGTCTTTATTGAGATCGAACAAAACAAGTTAGACATGATAAGGATGTTTTGAACAAAATCCTCTTCTCATGTAGCTAGAAAACCGACAAAGACATGACCAAAGACTGCAAAATGCTTGTCGAGGGCTCAAAACTTGTTTCTCAGTTTAATAAAAAGAGTTTAGACTGAATTTCTCGTACATCACTAAATTTGCTTGAATAATAAGATGAAAGTCTTCTCGTGAAGCGGACCATTTGATATTGGTAATAATAAATGCCAAGTGCAGGAGTATTCAGCAGGAATACTAACATTTACGAAAAAGTTGGAGGAAAGTATCACCAAGACCAATGGAAATATGATCCTCTATGAAATGATTAACATCTGTCCTTCTTTTCCGCTCTGAAATTCACAACTGAACCACAAAAATCCCCCTGAAAAAATGCCCGAGTCCAGTTGCGATAGAAAGAATGAAGAATGATGTAGCATCAAGACTCGTTAACAATTCCTTCGAGTTGGGAGTCACAGAAAAATCTTGAAAGTAAAGATTCCCAAACTAATAGAGGACGTCTTGCCCAAGAGAGATGGTCGAAGCAATCTTCGTAATCATCGCCTGATTTGTTTGCCGAGTGTGTTCACCAGCTGATCACGGGTGTTATCCTTTCGCGCATATAAGGACTTCGACAGAAACTTAGCTTTATGAACCATATCCAAGCCATACGCAGGTTCATTGAAGTCCATTGCAAATACTGCCTGTCCTTTGTTGTAACCTATGTTAACTCGCAACCACAACGAGAAGCACCATATTGAGAGTAATTCAACTTCTCAAATATAACAAGCAAACACATAGAGTCAGACTGAACAGCTCAGAGCCTCAAAGTTATTTTGTCTTCGTGTTCCGGTTCAATACATGCCAAAAGCAAAATAGACGGGACAGACATATAAATTTGAACAGCTAGTTGATTGATGGACACGAGGAGTGGATAAACTCCAAAAGGATGCATGCTTCATCTAAGACAAGCACCAATGAAATAGGCAGAGCTGTTTAGCTCTCGTTAATCAGTTTCATTCGCAGCTCCGCGCGATTTCCTCAAATGATCGAAGGGTTACGCAACCTACCTCGCTGATGTCACTATATTCAAAGAAAGTTACCACCCACCATGGACAGCACTCGCACGAGAATAAGATGAATGGAAAGTGTGCTGTTGACCATTCACCTCGTAAAACAGGCAAAAGTTTCGAAATAAGGTTAGGGCAAACACGACTGAGAAAAAGGCGAAACGAAGGACCTACATGGTGTTGTGGTGAATGCGTTACTCCTCTGAAAGGACAATAGCGCGTGCGGTCTGGAGTTTCGCAAATAACCCAGCATCATTGTAGCTAAATTTAGTGTAGTTGAAAATATGCCTGGCTGTCAAACTGTGATATACAGAGACGGAAGGTTAACTACAACAGGGTCTCCTAAACTAAGTAGTTCGCCGTTTTCGAAAAAAAAAAACCCAACTACGAGTAATCTAATGCCAGACAGAAATTACCACCGCCCTAGTATGTACATTGTCGAAAGAGGGAAAACCTTCTTTCGATCAAGAACGACTGGCAGTTTTCTGTAGTGGACACATGGGAAAGCTCTAGCACAAGTATTTTAAGATTCCATGGAGAGAAAATCATGGAAAGTCAGAAAATTACCAGTCATGTTGGAACCGTGCTAAGATTAACATGACTATTTTAAAAGGATCGTAGAAGTATTTCAATGACTTTCTGACAAACTTCCCAACATTTTGCATCCAATCGGGACCAAGACTTTTGCGCAATAGAGTAGACCATGCCTTCCGCATATTTGGTGGGATTTCACCTTGACCTGTAGTTGCAACAACGAACACAACCACGCATTCAGCGGGGAGAACCTGAAAAAGCCACTGCAGCAGCTGACGGAACCTAGAAGGTCATTCAAGTTGTGTAACTTAAATAAACAATATAATCTAAAAGTACCTCGATATCATATTCATCTAGACCATATAGACGAGCAGGAACGTTGAGAAGTCTTGCCTCTTTCCAGAGACACCCAGCAATATCTTCGGCCGCTCCAGTTTCACTACCGTAGAGGAACAGCAAGGACTGCATTGAGTTAAGTGTTTACTAAACAACAACGTCGAAAGATTCTCTCAAATCTGGTTAATCTCCGAGCCAAATATATGTAGTACGCAGTAAATGAACTTGTCCCATTGTCTATAAACAATACATGTCCTTTTTATGAAAGTAAAAACCACTTCGTTCTTAAAAATCACAACGGAAATATTTATTTTTGTACCATACCACTTATAAACATGGAGAATTTTGCAACAATTCCTAAACATGCATCGTCATATTCGTTCCAAAATATCTGAGATAATAATTGTAACATAGAAAAAGTACGGCTGGAACCTCATGCCTCACAACGACCAGCTTCCCTGAACATTTGCAAAAGTTTATCGGAATTTTTCCTCGTAAACGATAAGGTTGCTCTTCTGTAGTAATCTGGTGCTATTTTCAAGTTGTTGATGACATCATCGAGCAAAACAGCTGCTAATGTCGAGCTAGCGGGCGCATCGTACTTCAAACTAAATAAAAAATTACATCTGCACCATGACTATCCCGAAAATCTATCTTTGTAAACATGTTTTTACTCAGTTATTTGGATACTTGGATGGTTCTTTGTTGGTTGTGTGAACCCCAGCATAATTTCTACTTCTTCTGGTTTTTTTCTTCTGGAGTTTTGCTGGTTTAGCCCTTGTGGTTCCCTGGAATCCCCTGAGGTCAGCCTGGCCAAAGGCCGCCCTCGTGGATTAGAGGGAGATTTGCCACCAAGCAACTAGTTTTGTACTAGGACGGTGATGTATCCTGGTATTGGTTTACTCTTAACTGGACTTCTTGGCGGAAACGTCGGACTCCTTCTCAGCTTGGGAGACCCTGTTGGGAGGATGAATTCCACGCCATACAACGAAGCCCAACACCCATGAACACCTCCCAGCCACGATGAGATGGTAAACCGCTGGGAGGAACACATGTTTCTATTTTCACGATAATACGCCGTGAGCTTGAATTAAAAGTAACCATTGAATCAATGTAACTACCTGACAAAATGCACGTGAAGATGGTAGAAAGATGGTTGGTAATGAAAGTAGGCCCGAATTTGATCAGGACGAACGCCGTACTTCTCACGAATTGCGCATAAGGCTTGCGAGCGTAGATTTTCCAGCAATGGAAGATCGTCAGCAGTGAGATCTCTAATACAAAACACAGCATTATCTACGAAATGTTGGCACTTAATCTTAAAAGAATAAAACTCCCGGTGTTGATGAATCCCTAAGGAATGCGCCAGGCCTTTGACTTCACTAAGCATCGTTTGAAGTGACTGAATGCATATCTGGTCTTCACAACGACTCACGGTGGCTACCTATGTATCAAGCCATTGCTGCTACCCTCCTAGACAAGTCTAGTACCAATTTGCCCATCCTGGAGAGAATGCTTGATGGGTCAGAGGCGCGGGAATCGATCTCATGTGTAATCCAGGGCGCCTCCGACCACTGCTCTACCTGTGCCTCTTCTTCGAACGAACGAAGGAATAGCATTAGCGTTGAAAAACCGTACCGTATTGACCGGACTCCTCTTCGATGAATCATTGCCAGCACATAAAGGTTCTCGAGAGAAACACTGTCCCATTTAATATCCGGAGCCAGGATAAAACCATTGTAGGGATCAGGATCCTCGAATAAAATCCTCTCAGCCTCACACTCCTTAGATAATATATTGTAAACCCACTGAAACAACTGGAGCATTGTTCATCAACCTCTCGAAATTCATGAAAAAAGTGGAACAAATTTATAAGCTGATATTCACGCGAATTTCTAGCTAGTACTTTTCACTACTGTAACGAAGCAACCTTTTCAGCGGCCAATGAAGCAAGGCCAACAACACAATTCAACAGCGCACTGCTCAATCACCAAAAGTTCCAGGTTTGTTTTAGCCGTTGACAATATTTTAACCCAAACAGGCATCAATAAAGTGCAGTGCACTGAGAAAAATCAGGGAAGACTCAGAGAAACTGCTGTAAACGTTAGAAGGATTTTATAACGGAAAATGTGCTTTGAAACTGATTTAGCGTAATAAACTCCATCCACTGACACAATGGTGAATCAAAGGCACTTTGTCCCAGACATTTTTTCAAAGGTTTCTCACTTTGTTCAACGAAAATGTAAGCTTTCAACCATACAGAGCGGATGAGCAGTTTATGTGGATAAGGAAACTTGCTTGCTAGACGTTCAGAAGTAAAGAGAGTAAAATAAGAAATCGTGAAACCTACGGTAACCAAGAGAGCCAACCTTGAGATCCATTTGAAACTTCTCAATGTATTCCACAGTAATCGTGCGATAGTCTTCTGCCGTCTCGTTGATAATGAATTTCTCTTCCTGACGATATTTTGCCACTATCTTCTCATTGGCAGGATATATAAGTTGAGATTTCACCACTGAAACCAGCACATAAATTACTGGTCATAATGGGATGGCCAGTAGTTTATTCCCTCTTTTATTCTGATTTCCCTTTACTATTCAGTAAGGCCACGGTCCAACACTTACCAACTCTTCATTTCTTTGAACACCAAGACGATTATCGTTTCGCTTCTTTGGATTTGTCGTCACTTTTCATTTACTGCTTATTCTTTTTTAGTGGAAGGATATTATGTGACATATAACCATAATGATGTTGAGATATGTGCAAAATTCCGGATCCCTGGTGTCTGTGGCAGGGTACGAACACGCTATTACCCATTCCGAAGGCTAACGCGTTCACCACCACACCATGCGAGTCTTTCGTTTCGCTTTTCCCCCGGCTTCAGCTTAACTGGGTCCAATGCCGATTTGTGCTCCCCAGATCAATTCCATTGACGGGTGATTGCTGATAACAACTATAGGTCAATAACACAGCTGAGAGAAAGACGAAACGGAAAGCCCGCATGGTGTGGTGGTAAACGCGTTAGCTCCGAAAAGGGTGATACTGTGCTCTGTCCTCACAGCAGACACCACCGATCCGGAGTTTTGCTTTGGGTTTGTTTCAACACCAGTACATAACCGTATGAAATAATAATATACCGTTTAAATGCGACGGAATAACTGCATTGTAGCTCCCATATATGTCGTTCTTCATAACCTCAAGCAATTCGGCCGAATGGAGAATCGCGTTAATGTCGTTCGCGTCTTCTGAGAAAGCCGACTTATTCATGAGAAGAACTCCCTGTTCACCGTTTACTCCTGACAGTAGGACGAAAAGCGACTGAAACGAAACCATAAGGATATCTCAAAGGAATCACGTATGGGCTATACGCGATGTATACCTTATGGCTAACATCTGACCCTAGAACTTCTCTGAAAGTAGCACCCCTCAACCATGATTGAGCAGCATTCTCCTGCGTTTCAATGGCACCATTACCAGCCACGTTGGATTTCTCTGTAGTAGATTCACAATCCTCCGCTAGCTCCATAGCTTAGAATTAGAGATAATAAGTCCTTAGAAGATATGTGTACGAAATACAATAAGAAAAACAACAACTTGGAAACGTGAAAGAACGCCTCTCTTCTAGACGTATACAACTGAAGGAAAGAATACAGAACTTACGCTAACTAAAATTTAGAAAGAAAACGATAATAGCCCTATCGTTAATGGAGTTCAGAAGAACAGTCTGGGCTCACGCATAGAGGGGTGGACTGCCAATCGGTTAGCACGCTACAAACGAACTGCCCAGGACGACTGCGGCTCGAAGCTGATCCGAAGGGACCGCCGTCACCTGCAGGTTCCAGCAGAGTCCGATTACTCTCTGTTTTGCGGCTCCGTGTTTTCCTCTTCGTATCAGGAAGCAGATGAGGATGAGCATGTGTATTTCTTGGAATCAGGAAACCCTATTAGTCTTACGATCGGCCTAATTGCACGAAATACTAACCGATGCTACGCTTAGCCCCTGTTGGAGTGCTAGATGATGAACTCCTATCGTTTTACATAGAACGCATTTGTTGCCAAGACCTTTATTAGTCGCATCTGTTCAAGCAAGTGAGAAAATTTCATCGTGTGCGCGATTGCGAAGTGGTTTGTCTTAAGGTTTGCTAGGTAGGAGCTAGAAAGTCCTTAAGAGATAAACACGGAGTAACCTAATGTTCTTGACCATATTAATTAATCTTCTTTATTTCCTGCTGTCGGATTTTCCATCGGTCATATCTCGGAAGTAAACCATTTCCGTTGCACCACCAGGTGCTTCTTACTCAACTGAAAAATCTGTTTAGAAAAGTCCTTGCGGTGTTGGAGTAGTGCTGCTTGCCAACTGTAAGTACTACTTCATCTTCCGGTCCAGTCCAGTCCTACTTCACCATCAGATCCAGGTCTACGTTTTACGGATGTCCAGTCTTCCTCGTGTCCTTACGCGAATCACCTCCCGTCGGATGTCGACAAAAGCTGAGTAAGTTCCTAGGACCCGCCAGATTTGAACGTTTGGCTATGGTACCATTTTTTTTATTCTTCGAAATAACGCAGTTCGAAGGCTGCTTTTATTTCTGTCTTGTTTTTTTAGCGGCTATGGGTGGGCATTACAATGCTCAGTTTCTAATGAAGTATGAAGGTGTTGCGTAACAAGATGGCTGTGAAATTCTAGAAAACAAATCACTATGTTTAGGTCTTAAGTGGATTAATACTGTCTTTACGCCAGAGCTTGCCCACTTGCCCTGTACTATTATTCGTACATACTTTAAAGCTCGGCGCATGACACGAAAGTAGTGATGTATCGAGCCAGTGTTGCTCTCCTTCTGGACAAGTCTGGTGCTAATTTGCCGACTGCGGAGGGATGGAAGGCTTAGTGTGCCCCGGGCACTGGGATCGACCCTATGGGTGATGCAGCGCGCAGCCGATCACTGCGCCACAAGCGCCCCTCATTTTCTCATTAGTAATGATAAATTTTAGGTTCGATGTTCAAAGTGTAAAGAGAATTCGAGATATACAAATGTATATATACAGCGGCTTGTCCACGAAATCTGTGAATTCAGTTTCAAAAGCGGCGGTAGAATCAATAAGTCAGATTCGCTGGTCCTTACAACATATTAAATAAAGTTGTTTATTATGCCCCCTCTTTATGCTATGGTTGTAAAGAAGAACTTCATGTTGTAACGAAACGCTTTGAATCAAGGCAAGGAGCCAGCAAAGAAAGCAGAATTAGGACGTTTCTAGCTTCTCTTAGTCTTTCACCAACTCTTTGTTACACTAAGTGACAACGCTTCCATTCGTTGTAGATTTCTATACTTGTATATCGGACGAGGAAGAGACTGGAAAACTGGGCACTCAGAGGTAGTCCCTACAGAGTAAGTGATATTCTATCTGTAGTGATATTATATGGGGTAGTGGTGCAAAGTCTGAGGTTTTGTTACTTCGCTATTCAGTTTCGAGCGTGTTAACTAGCTCGTGTTCATTTGGGTGATATTAACTATACGGAAGGTGTATGGCATATTATTGAAAGTTGTATTTTCAAGTCTAAGCAGTGAAATTGGCTTTATTTTGTCTTTAAAACAATTGGGAATTTATTATTGTTCCCGCTATATTGACTATAAGACTATGATGACATATATATATATATATATATATATATATATATATACTGCTAAGGGCGCATGTAGCGTAGCGCAGTTGTTGGAGGCGCTCTGCTGTCACATGCGATAGATCAACCCGCTCCAGCCTTTAACAAGCGTTCCGTCTCTCCGGGATCGGAAAATTGGTACTAGACTTATCTGGAAGGATAGCAACACTGAGTCGATACATCGGTAGACTATCGCGAGTTATTGTAAGGGCCAGGTATGCATTCGCTGGCCTCCAACGGTGCTCAGTGAAGCCGAATGCATAGCGCATCCCTCAGGAATTGGTCAATGCCGAGAGCTTTCTCCTTTCATCCATTTCATCCCGACATATCGTGCTTTAAATCCGTATCATTTAGCAGTTGTATTCCTTCGATATATCTTACTTATTACATAAATATCACCAACCACATCCTATATTTACGTCCATTACAGTGATGGATCAAGTTTGTTTCTGTTCTATTTTTAGCGATATAGAGTTCAAGATTTTTATACGGCACAGTCTTACGTTTCCCAAAGCAGTAAAATGTTCTTCCTTGAACAAACAGTCTCGTTTCTTTTAAACAACTTGTCGTTATAGAAAGGATTATTAAGGGATCCACATGCCATTTGGAGAGAAGTGAATCGACTGGGAAGTGAAGGCAAATGGGACAACATCAACTGCATGCCTAAGATGTTTCTATTTGGATCTGCAAAAAGGGAAACATACGCTGTGTACAACGCAATAGTCAGTCCAGATTTCGATTTTTTAAATTTTTTTCTTCGTTTGGTTTTTTTTGTTTAACACACTTCGTTGGTTTGGTCACTTGCCCAAGGCAAGCCAAGCCATTCCTTCGGGGTCAGAAAATTGTTGTCAAACCTGTCAATGAGCATCATACACTAGCTTGCCACTTCGGTAGGTCACCACGAGTTATTGTGTAGGCCACGTGCGCATTCGACCACCTCTACGATGACTGACGGGGTCATGCGGATGACGCATCCCTAAGGGTTTGACCGTTTGACCAACAATGAGAGCTGTTTCAGCTTTACTGGATGGATCACAGGGCACATACAGCAGTAAAGCGTAAAGCATAGAACTCTCCTCGTTTACCAATACCTGAGGGATGTGCCATGCATTCGACTTCATTAAGCGTCGTTGGAGGTGATTGAATGCATATCTGGCTTTTCCAATGTCTCGCGGTGACCTGCCGATGTATCAAGTCAGTACTGCTTTCCTCCCAGAAAAGTCTGGTACCAATTTGCCGACCCTGGAGGGATGGAAGGCTTGGTGAGCTTTGGGCGGGAATCGATCCTATGTGCAGGGCGCCTCCGACTACTGCGTTACAAGCGCCATAAGGTGTAATCACATTTATTCCATTACTTATGGTTTTTATTGTACTCTGTTGTTGTTGCTGGTTCGAAGAACATTCCCAACGGTTTACCGCCTCATGGTTGCTGGGAGGTGTTCCTGGGTGTTGGACTGCGATGTACAGCGGGGGATTCATCTCCTGGCAGGGTCTCCCAAGCTGACAAAGAGTCCAGCGTTTCCATCAGGAAGCCTAGCTAGGGGTAAGCCAATACCAGGATCCACCAACGTCCTGGTATCAAGATCGCATGATGGTAAATCTCCCTCTGATCCACAAGGGCTGCAACTGCCTGTCTTGGTGACGACCTGGGGCATACTTTGGCCAGGCTGACCTCGGGACTCCAGGGAACCATAATGGCTTAGCCAGCAAATCTCCGAAAAGTGGAGATTATGCTGGTGCCCGCACAAACAGTGAAGACAGGCCATTCAAGTGTCAAGTAAGTGAGTAAGGTTCAATGAATTTGTTTTAGAATCACAGAACTGACATCTGGTCCTCGTCTCCCTATGGCCAGATTGCAAAAGCTGTTTTTCGCATAGTGCTTCTAATATCCACGATTCAGGTTTGTGTTTACTCAGTCTCTTATCTGCAAATTTTCTGCTTATTGGTCAACAACATTTTTTTTGAATATTGGAAGAACCTGCTTTTCAGGTTGGTGTGTGGGTGTATGAATTTGTCGTACCAGAAGAGAAAAGGCTAAAGTATAAGTATCGTGCTAAGCATGAAGAAGGCCATGGACATCACTAAAGGAGGCATTTTTTGGTTTATGATGATATAGTATGTTTTGGTAGGAGTGAATAAATGATGGTTCTAGTCATTTCTTGAAGAAATGAAGCTGATACTTGTGAATTTTTATTAAATTTATCCTAATTCGCCGAGGACCGTACTCCTTTTTTTTACTACTGTAGGTTTGAGAATTGAAAATAAAAGTTTTGGAGTTTTTGCTATTGTTATTTTTTTTGTAACTGTTGTTCATTTCTATCTTGACGGGACGGATAGCACAGTGGTAGTGATGTCGGTCATTACGAGTATGGTGCTAATTTGATTCCGTTCTGTGCCAACCAAGCTCATCCCTCCGGAGTCGGGAAATTGGTGCCGGACTTCGCGAAAAGACCACTCTCTGCAATCCAGTTGGGAACGCTCCAGCCCGGGAATCTCAAGACTTCAGGGGGAATTGCTCAACCAGCATTCTACGACAGTCAGGATGAAATGGAAATCCTCAAGCACTAGGTGGAGTTACACGTAGAAGTTGGAAGATCTTCGTGAAAAATGCATGCGAGGAAGCGAACAGAGTATCGGAAGTGCTGGGATCGGCACAGTGGGCGTGACGACGGGTCATATAAAAACAAAGAAGGAAATCTTTTCTTGAAGTGTAGCTGAAAGTCAAGTGAATGAAATTTCAAAACACTTAAAAAACGGGAGCAATAGTGTCAATAACAGGACGAATTTGGAGATGACATTATGTCATACTCGGTAGGATTTTTTCTAATCAGTCGCTTCACTGCACGAGGTACGAGTGTTCACAACAATTTCTATTTCAGTGATATGGCTGTTTATGACAAAAGCGAAGAAGGTCGTAGTCTCTGGAATCGGAGCGTTTTGCTCTGGAAGAATGAACTAATATATTTCCATTACCTTGAAGGGTTGCTGGTCGTGATGGCTTTCATTTCAGTTTATGGAGCTAACTATGACATAGAATAAGTGGTTTAATGTGAAGGATCCACAGTACTAATTGGTAAATATGATCTGAGATAGCTTCCGTGGGCGCAGTGGTTCCCGAGTTTCCACTTCGGACTTGGTTCTATTTTTGCATTGATAGGCTCGGAACTCATTTTTCATTTTTTTTCGTGGCACTTGATACAAGATACCGACAATGAATTGTGCACCATTTCATAAAAGGATAAAGGAGAAAGCTCTCGGCATTGATCAATCCTTTAGGGATGCGCCATGCATTCGACTTCATTAGGTATCGTTTGGAGGTGATTGAACGCATTACTGGCCTTTACAATGACTTGTGGTGGTCTACCAATGTATTGACCCTGTGCTGCTATCCTGCCAGACAAGTCTGGTACCAATTTGCCGACCCCGGAGGGAGGTTGGAAAGCTTGGTGGGTCATTTCATGTCTACTATAAACTTGGGTGAGTCGACAGCGGCTGTAACACTGGGCACAATGAACAATGCTGATTTTTCAAAAGCAGGCAATTTTTTTTTGATGGTTGGTGGACACGAGGAATTGCGACCATAACAGAGTTTTAAAAGAGATTTTGAATTGTCTGTTCAAAGGTGTGTATTTCAATATGTAGGCTATTTTAGCACTGTTCACCATCTAACCATACTGATGTTAGCTTTTAGAAGTACTTTGCAAACAGCTATAGTATTCTGTAGGAATATTCTGCGTCCACTCTATGTGTCCTACTAAAAGTTCGTATTACATACAATGACCTCAACCCTTTGTAACAATATGGATTAGAAAAAAGTGCCGAATCACGCCCAAAAATGACGATGCGCGGACGATGGACACACGAACGGTGCTGCTTTTCCGACAACTCTCGATCCTTGATAAATAGAGGAATTGAGAGGTCGATGAAATAACAGGCATAAAGGGGAGTTTGTTTAAGATAATGAATGGCAATCTTATTTTTACGACAGGGTATGATGCGAAACACAACCACAAGATGCTGAGATATTTGCAAAACTATGGACCACAGGTGGGTTCTGAAGATCAGTCCCATCGGCGAGTGATTGCTTATTGCACTGATCGATGGAACTAGCTGAGAGACAGGCGAAAGGAAAGACCCGCTTGGTGTGGTGGTGAACGCGTTAGCTCCCAAAAGGGTAATAGAGCGTTCGTTCCCCGCCGCAGACACCTGCGATCCCGAGTTTTGCAAATAATGAGTGGCTTTCTAACTCGTTATTTTCATTTTAAATAGAGTCAAAGTCCAATTTTTGAGAAGAATCCAATCTTCTTCTTGAATGTGGGAAATTATATCCTGCTGGCGAAAATATTACATTCCGACAGTTCTTATTTCAACCGAGAAAAGTTTACTACTGAACTGACAACATGGTTGTTGAAAGGCTTAACTGGTTTAGGACAAACATGAATTGAAACTAAAGACCATTCAATAGGTTCAAGGACTGAAAGGGTGGGATTTTCTGAAGTGTTCAGTAGAGAAGTTCGAGTCCACTGTTCTGTGATTCTTTGGGAATTTATAAATCAGTCTAAACGGTAAAGAAAAGCCCACTTTCTTTTGGGGCAATAGTCATTTCGCTCTTTCTCCGCACCTCGGTGATTCTTCTTCTTAGCACACAGAACGCTCGGTATCTTTTCATACTACTGTACGTTTTCCATGTCGACTACGCATTTTTTTAACGGAATTTACTTCTGTTTCTATTACGAAATTGCTTTTCCAGTGCCATCTGCTCTGTGTTGGACCTGCCATGCTGGCACTAATACACTTTGAAATGGGGGAAAGTCTGCTCATTCTGGAATAATAAACTGGAATTGACATTTATTTGTGAACCCATTCTTTCTAGAATCGTGTTACACTTCCACTTGGCCATATGTATTCTTGATTGAGCATTTTATGCATCATGTGTATTTTGTTCTTCATGACTACTTCGTCATTTCGTTGCAGAAACTACTCTTTTAGTATCAGTGTTTATTTTTAGTTTGGATTTATTTCATCATTGTCGTATTCCCTATACGCATGTTGTACAAAGGCTCAAGTAACCAAGTTTAAAGTGCGCTTTTTGGAGAAAGGCAAAACGAATGTGGGACTTGTGGGAGATGCTGTGCAGTTGGCTGCACCCGTTGTATCAATCTTTGCTAGAGTGAACATTCTAATCTTCAACACCTTACCTCGGGACCGCTATCTTATGCGTTCATCCAGCAACTGAATCCTTAAATCTATCGCAGCATGTCGACACTATAATTCGACTTCACAAGACTCCTTCATAATATAGCGTACCTTCAAGTGGAATACCTACCTATTCTGGAGCTTTTAAATATCCGATGGCGGAACACAGACAAGTTCAAAAAGTGAAAGGGTTCTAAAACCAGAGTTTTAGCATAATATCGAGTTCCACAGAAGTCTTTCCGTACACCGGGCTACAACTCCAGTATTCCGTCACAGATGGTGATCTGAGAATTCCTGTTTGAAGCAAGAGCACGATGAATTTCTTCATTTCTTGAACAGTTCGTGCTTCTCACAATTTGTCTTTCTAACGGCTACATACAGATATGGGTCATAAATAATTTATAAAAATACGTAGGTTTTCCGAATTTTGGCAAGTACACTAGATTTAACCATAATGTGGCTGAGATATTTGCAAAACTCCGGGCCGCTGGTGTCTGCGGTAGGGACCGAACAAGCTATTACCCCTTCCGGTGGCTAACGCGTTCACCACCACACCATGCGAGTCTCTCGTTTAGCCTGTCTCTCAGACATGTTATTGATCTATATGCGCTATCAGCAATCACCCGTCAACGGGAATGATCTGGCGAGCACAAATCGGCATGAACCTAGTTAAACTGAACATTAGATTTATTCTAGAATAGTTGTCATCAAAAGTCCAGTGGTCGTAAAATACGACATTTTTTGGCCTTGCATTGCAAATCTCATCTTCATCACCCTTAAAATCACTCTCTCCTAACACTCGCTGTCCTAACACTGTTCAATGGGTAAAGCAAAAGATCACTCGTTTTCCTTCAGTGCAGTGATAATTCTTTTTCTAACCGCTCCACTGAGTCCTGATGGTTACCGTACGAAATTTACGGATGTAAAAATTTGAAAAACTGAAATATGCTACGGTTGCAGAACCACTTATTAAAAACCACAGATATTGGACAAGATTTCTCATAAAACGTGGATAGATACATAGAAGAACAAGGCTCAGTGAGAAACCATACCATGCAGCAAGCAAGAAGGGAAACCTTAGTGGGACGCTGATCGAATTATTCGAATGTCGTCGAGGAGAAGTGAGAGGCAGGTGGATGCATTGCGCTCGGAAATGAACAAAGTTGTTTAGATAGCAGTATTAGATAAGCAAATAGCCGAAAATAGCAATGCTTCCGAAAACCGACCTTCGTATAACTTCAGCATGAGTGTTCAAACACTATTAAATTATTGAGCTTGGGCAAATTTGTTTTAAAAAAAACTTTGTTGCGGCTAACGTTTCGGCACCTTCGTTTCGGCACCACCTTCACCTTCTTCAAAGCCGCAATGATTCGAGTGGCTTGCCCACAGCATTTATTATTCCAACGTGGCTCTTCACGATCGTGATAGAAAATAGTAATCATAGAGGCTGGTCGTCAGAAGGTCGTGAGCTACCACGTACGCCATTTGGATGCCGCTTCATCCAGGAGCCATAATGTTGTAGAAATGGTGACAATGACTTACTGGGTTAAGCTGGGTGCCGTCGAATGGGGACTCAACCGCTCCCATGGCCTTATTTCGAGCCACAGTGCTTATATAGTAAATTGTACGCTTTAGCAAGCTGCCATTATGAGCTGAAAAATGATTTCGCTCTGATTGGACCATCTATACCAACTTTTGTTATATAGTATAAGAGATTTTTGGATAAAAGCAGAAAAGGCAATATGGTCGGTTTCGATCCATCTCTTAGAGATGTGCTATGAATCGACTCCAATAAGCATCATCGTTGAGGTCATTAAATGATATTTGGCGTATGCAATGACTTACAAGGACCTACTATAAGGCCTTTTTATTCCTCCAGACATGTTTAATATCAATTTCTCGGAACCAAAAGCATGGGTCTTTCGTTAGGACGGACGAGAGATCAAAACAAAAGTTATGACCGCCGCAAAGACTTAGCAATGAGAAGGAAGTTTGTACATTGTAAACCTCACAGGCGTTGTGCTCCACTAACTGTAAACCGTTTATCGCAAAATTTGAATAAGACCAGATTATTATGTAGTGGCTGCGCACGCTCTCGTATAGATTACCATCCACTATGTTACACCGCTTTTGCTCAGTCCTTTTTTTTCTTCTCGTTCACGCAGATTTTATTGTCCAACAGATTGTGAGCGAGATAGTTTTATATTAAAATGCCATCTGGAGCTAATAGATAGTCTTTCTATTTAGCTATGTGAACATTGTCTGGCTTGCGCCACAAGATCTTTTGCCTTAGCTCGATAGATTTGCCTTGTTAAATTGAATTTTTCTTAAAATATTGGATATCCTAACTAAGAATTGTAGAAAGCATTCTCTATAGCCCAGATGTTGGATTCAACTCGTAATCCAATGACACAATGGTTCCGAATATTTTAGAACGTTTAGAATGATACGCATATTCATAAAAGATTGCTGTTCTTCTTTTCCCAGTTCCTCCACCTCAACGTAATGTGTTGGTGTCCTTAACACTTGGAAATTGTGCAGACCTGCAGGGATTTACGGGCGTGACTAAGAAGATTATGCTACTATTTTCAAGCAGATCACATTTGAGAATGCTAACAGCGAATTCGGCCAATGGAAACAGTTGCAGCACAAAAGTGGTTTAAGCAGCAGTAGAATCAGGGCATCGAGCAAGTACTGATACAGGTACTTGAATAACTGGTTGCTTGAACGGTGCGAAAAATGCATCCAGCACATTCTCCATTTGGCTAGTCATTTGCTAGTTAATAAAGGTTTTCTTTACTTAGACTCTCGATATTGGTGTGTTAAGATTATCCCAGGTTATCATAACAGGCAATCATCGACGCTTATAGATCTGAGGGAGATTTTCAATTTGAAATGTCAGATTTTTCGGCTTGAGAGGCCGTGTTGAGGACGAGCTCCCAACCACACATGGCAGTTCAACTCCCAGGACTATCGTAGCCAATTCCCAACAGGAAGGAAACATGGGAAATGGGTACTGCATGTATACCGACAGCGGTTTTCTATCGCTGTGAAGTCGTCCACAAATCCTGAAATCCTGTACAAATTTTGCTTCTGCAGGAGAAGAAACGTGTCGATAGACACTGCAGACAGTTGTTAACGTGCCTACAATGTGCAGGTTCTACACAATGGCAGCCATCTGAGTCCTACATAGATCGCGAGTACCCAGGAATGATTTAACCTTCCAATTTTAAACAAGCATAGCCTCAGCTTATCTTGCAGTTAGTAACTGAAATAAAAATCAATGGAATTTATAGGTTCTCGGCAACAAGACATTACCACTTTGATTACCCTGATAGGATGAAACTCTAACTTTCTAGAGCCTACCAGATCTCCTTCTCTGTGCCTTTCTACATATGCTCCTACTGCGACGAGCAGTGTTGTTCAGCAGCATGTGTTAGTGTCTCCGAATGCATCCATTTATGGTCGCGTCTGCTGCGCTCCTGTTAACCATTCTGGAAGCTGCTTGTAGCAACAAGGCTTTTTAAAATACGGGTCTAAAATATGTTGACATAAAAGCAACACTTTGGAAAAGTCTATGCATGCTCTAAGAGAAACAGAGATATACTCGCTTTCCTAAGACTAGTAAATCCTGTATAGCTCTAGTCGTAGAAGGATTTTCGGCGGTGGTAGAAAAAATATGCATGTTCCGAACCTGTCATATAAAGGTTTAACCCCTACGTCGGGTTGAATTTCTTTGCACATTTGTAAAATGCCAGTACTCTATAACTATCTGGGATTGCCGCAAAAGCCGCAGTCTTGTGAAAGGTTCGGAATATATTCTGATTTCCTGAACAATCTGCTTATTATTCTTTTTTGTGTTTTACTGCGTACCGAATCATTCGGCGAATGAAAGCAGCAGTGAAACCGTTTTCTTTACAGTGTTCGAACATGGATAGGCAGTCGTGGAAGGAACTAGTTTGCATTCTTTGCTTGAGCATAGCTACTATGTGTCTTATGAACGGCTATGATACTCAGTCGTTCATTGTTGAAGCTGTTCTGCACTCAGTACATATGAGGGAACCGACCACGATAGCTAAACACGCTGGATATTACGGGTACGTGCTACATGCAGATGTTTGAAAACCATCTCCAACCATGTTCGTAAATGTGGCTTGATGTCGACAGTCGAAATCTGAGGATAGACTATCGACATTCTCGTATTAACCATGGCCAAACGAAGATATTACATATAGAACCAATACATTGGCTGACGTAGTACTCTGGCATGAATAACCCATGATGCACAAGCAGCACAGAACATGCAACGTTTGTAACTGTACGGTTGTACTCAGCGGAAGAGGAAGTTTTCCAACAGTTACTGTCGCCATGAGTCAAAGTCTAAAATACTGCCGAGATTGCCTGGTATAGTAGACAATCATTTCGCCAATCTCAGAAAATCTCACCAATTATTTGAGGTCTCAGTTCGTTTGCTATCCGTTTATTCTGAAGACGGTAAGATCTTCCATCGTACTGGCCTGCTTAAAGGCCATCATAACACGGCTCTACAAACTTTTGCTTCTTTTCATGGCAAAATATTTTAAATCTACCGCAATCATTCTGAGATATTTGCAAAACTCCGGATCGAAGGTGTCTGTGGTGGAGAACGCCCGTCAGCGGGATTGATCTGGGAGCCCAAATCGCTCAAATCAATCCCGTTGACTGGTGATTGCTGATGTCACTGATTAATAGAACTAGCTGAGAGACAGGCGAAACAAAGGCCCCGCATGGTGTGGTGGTGAGCGCGTTACTCCTTGGAAGGGCAATAGTGCGTTCGTCACCCACCGGAGACACCTGCGGTCCAGAGTTTTGCAAATGTCTCAGCATTATTGTGGTTGTATTTCGCATTATACCCTGCCATGAATAAATTATAGCACGTAGCAAATGAAAAGCTGGAATTTTAACACTGTTGGGAGGAATGCACATGACTTCCTCTACATGATATGGACAGCCTTTGCCTGCAATTAGAAATGTGTCCAACACTGAAACATGTACCACACCGAAAAATGGCTAGCGTAAATGTAGTTATCGTCGCAGTAGGACGAATCTGAGCATTCGGAACATGATTTCTGTGTTGAACACTTAAAGTTAATTAAATTAAAGTAACAAAAACCAAATACAGTAAAAATTACTTCCCTCAAACGTTCGCTCTTTCATCGCTGCTGGGAAACGATTAAGACTAAACCAGTTCCACGACGAAAACCATGGAGATATCAGCGTCAACCTTCCTGTAGCGAAAGAAACGGCAAGGGAAAAAGTGTAATACTAAAAGTGATGCTCTTCATGTGCCTTGAGAGAGACACTTAGGCAGGTTTGGTACGCCATGGATAGTCCATTAGTGCCTAATGAAGTTATTTAATGATTAACAACACTGCTAATGACACAGATGATTTCGCTGCAACATTTTTTCTCCAAACTTCTTATGTTAGTATTTGTTAAGAGTTGTTGGGAATACAAAAGACTTTACAGAGCTGTTCACCTAGATTACTACTATTGTTAGGTAATAAGTTCCGTTTATTGATCTTCCTAGTGCACTTCAACACAAATGCTTGTGATTCATGTTGGCTGCTCGCTGTTTGCTGAAGGAGAAACATCAGTGAAATTACGCAAAAGCAGCAGAATTTAAATGCGTTTTGTCAAAATGAAACAAATATTTTTCCTTAGGACATTAGCGTAACTATATAATGTGTTTCAGGCAAGCGATACTCTACGGGACTTACGCAGCTGCCACAGTGTTCGCGCCGTGGATTTGTCTTCGTCTAGGATCGAACTGGTCGCTGCTCGTCGGCAGTTTGCTATTCACAACCTACCATGCTGGATTCTTTATGCTCAACTCCTACTTCTACTACTTTTCGCAAGCATTCAATGGAATCGGGTTTGCATGTGAATAAATGGAAATTTTTGAATAGAATCTAGTGGGGTAGTATGGGTAGTGGGTCTGGAATAGATTCAAACTTTCCCTCGCAACGCAAACGGTGTGGATTTCTAATAAAAGAACACGTGCTTCACAGTGTACTACTCCGGTCAAGGCCTCTATATATCCGAGCACTCAACTAGGTCCACCATCACTCGTAATTCATCCTTGGTCAGCTCAATAGGGAACAGCAGGTTCTTGTTTGTAACAGCACAGAATTTTGGAAGGAATGCAAAAAAATTAATATTTAAATGGACTTTCTAGTATGTTGTTGGGTGGCTTTGTCCTTTTTGTCATTTTCTATGTGAGCGAGAATGTAACGGAAATATTCAAGACAGCAGGCAATGCGGTCGCCACGAACTACAGGTGATTTCTAGACCAGCGTCCTTTTACTACTGCGCGTTCTCTAAATTTCACAAAATCACCGTTAAGTTAATGTTCAGAAATTTTCTCGATGCTGAGATTTATGCAATATATGGTGTTCTACTCACTGTAACCGTTATTTCGAACATAATTTTCACAATCATGTTAACGATGAAAGCACGTGACGACAAATTGGAGCCTATTGAAAAATCAACACTTCGCAGTCAACTTGGTGGTTGTTTGAATCTTGGAAAGTTGCAGTAGTTGGATGCACGTTAATTTTAGTCTACTTTAGGGCACTTCTTCGAGACTGCATGTGAACCAAAAATGTTGCTGCTTTCATTCTTTTTTATATTTTATGGGCTACATGTCTCTTTTTGGCTCGGTGCTTATCCAACAACATTTGCATTCTCAAAAGCCTTATCATCGAATATTTACTTATCGGCTTTCTACAGTGGTATGGTTGGCTTAGGAAATATTATTGGTACGTTTAACGTTCAATACAGGTAGAACCGCTAGGCTTAGTTCATTGTTCATTTCCCAACTGTTGTACGTCGTATGGCCATGAGGAACGTTCAAGGGCATGCAGATTGTTTGCTAATTTTTACAATAGCAGTGCCCTTCAACCCATCCCAAAAGCACCACACTAGTTTACTGTTATCATAAGAATAATGTCACGCTTTTGTCTGGCTCATGATTTTGCTTAATTTTTTGTACCACACTGTGTTTTTCTTTTTCTTCTATTACTTAATAAGGTTGACGTCAAGGCACCTACTCGTTAGAAATGTTGTTTAGATTTATCAACAGCATTGCGGTAACTGCTCATGACATCGTAAACTATTCATTTGTCGTCGAAACGATTAATTAGACAGAACGATGTACCTGAGCATGACTATTTCCCAGAATGCTCCGGAAAGTTCATTAGGAGATTAGCACCGAGCGGTTTTTTGCGGAACATCGCAACTTTTGCAATCCCCGATATTCGCCTTATGGAATCGAACACCATCGTTTAAAACACAATTTTATTAACAAAGTTGAAAGCACTTAGATCTTGCGGGGTTTTTCCTATAAGCCTAATACATTGCGTAGTTAGGGATTCCGATGTTCTCGAAGTGTTCTATCCTTCGAAAGCAAGTACGGTAGCGGCTTGGTTGTATTAGATGGTAATGGTTTTATTCCCACTGATGGAATCTAATATTACCTGAGATATATGCCTATGAGCTGAAAATGGTCATTTGTTTCACAACAAAATGTATAGCAAAAAATGGAACCCTGCTTTTGTATGTTAATCTCATATTCGCCTCAAATGAACACTGCGCATATAGGCACTCGACTAGCCGCCTCTAAACGCCAAGTATGGCGGTGATCAATAACGGTACTTACGTGTAATGTCTATAGGAATCCTTAGACTCAAAAGTAGAATTGCCGCTGTATAATAACACCCAATAATAGTCTACTTTTTCAGTTGGGTGTTATATAACCATATTCAACAAATGGTATCCGAAATTCGGCCTTCTTCCAACGATGGCTTCGCAACTGGTGTTAAGTGCTGTCATGTATATCTTAACAATCGCTTCTACTTCGAATTTGTCCACTATTGAGGCAAACGATGACCCGACAATGTGGATTAGTTCGTCGTGAGCAAATGCCTATCATTCGATATCACAAGTTTGATAGCTCAGTGAATCTTGGTGTCGTTTCATTATCGTTCGAGTAGCTTCGAAATAACGTCGAATTTACAATAGTAAGAGTTCTCTGTTTCTCAAATAGCTTTGCATTTGTCCAGCACTGCCTTTGCAGCACCGTAACCTACGATCAACAAAATCTCATAGCGAGTCACTTCTTAGCGAAATATTTCAACGAGACAGCGTTTAACTTGCACTGAATAGTTCATGCAAACATGAGATCATTTTGGATACGATTTCAGTGAAACTGTCTGTTGTATCCTCGGGATACTACATGGAATGATCGACTGCTGCTCGTGTTCAATGCGTTCGCTTATTTGTACAATAGCTCTTCCTCGGAAGAGACTTCAAGCATATTCGCTAGCAAAACTCTATCAAGTCACTGAATTGCACATTATTGTTTTTCTTCTGTCATCCTAGCTGTTGTTGACACAATATTCTAATCAAATCACTTGCAGTCAATGGCATCATGCGTGGCATACCTCCTATCACCACATCTCACCGTAATGGTTTGGATAGCCATTTTGGCAGGTTTGTCAGCTGGCTGATTGCACATGTTTCATAATTAAGAGTGCTATGACAGTTACTATACACCTTGCATTGAGATATTACTTGTTGAATCAGAATCTTAATAGATCACAGCGGATATCCCACGTATAAGTTGTTACGAAACGGTTAATCGCTAGGCAATATGGCGTAGCCCCTAATGCGCCATGTGAGGTGAACGCTCGCCAAGAGCTAAAGTGTCTTTTAGGTTGAGATAAAAACAGTGAGCGAACTTGAAAAGTCCGGAAAGTGACAATTTCTTCGAAGGCCTTTAGCACATATGATGTACTGTTTACGTCGTAGTCAGTAGTTTTTAAGGTGCTCAGGAAAAGTGGGCCGGTTGACGAGAGGCCTACGCTAAGCAGGACAGAGTTTTTTGTGGTTGATTTCTACTATGACACACCTTTGTCAAGCTATGACGCGCTAGTGTTGTTAGGCAAGCATTGAGTTCTTCAGCAAGCTGATGAGAAGTTTTTAGAGGGTCAGCTTCAAATACCTCTTTTTTCGATACCTTCGTATAGATGTTAGTGATGAAATGTTAATGAGCGCACTATCTTTGTAATTAAGGATCATATTTTCGGTGGAAGACTTTTCGAACATTGCACTATTTCTATTCAGAAACGCCTTTTTGGCCCATACTTTAAGACATTTTAAGTTGCTTTCATAGAAGTATATCCAAATTTATATGTCCATGAAACCGCCGATTCCTCTATTACCATGTGTTCTTGAAACCGATAGCGGAGATTATTTTGGCATATTTTGGCCATCATTTTACTACGAATCCTGTAAAAATCGCGATATCGCGAATGTGGTAAAGAACAAAAGGCGCGTACTAGAATAGTCGTGCTTTTCGTGCTTCTTGAGTGAGCAGTGTTTACTAGGTAGATGTTGGAATGAACGAGCTCTATGGGTGCCTCACTCTAACGTGTTTACAAGTGATGTAGTTAACAAGTAAAAACCATCACTTTAAGATTTTTGTGTCGGAAAATCGTCGTTTTGCAAAGTTTCAGGTAGCCAGATTCTATCGGCAGTTGGATTTTTCGTGGTTTCTAGAGAGATTTTCTGTGAGGATCCAGTGAGCATGGATCGTCCCACTTCTATGCAGAAGATAAAACCAATTCAGAATAAGTACACCAATCAGTATAATTCATAATATGCTGTGAAATACGTCATGGTCAGAATAAAGATAATTCTGCGAAACATGTCAGTTACTTTTTGGCTTTGCTTAAAAAATCTGAAATTTCTCTCTAGTTTACTACTCGTAATTTCGACCAGAAAAGGTTGAAACAGCGCCTGAAGGCGCATGTCTTTCCTAAATCTTATGCAAATCTTAGTTCTCACTGCTCATCACGAAATAACATTGCAAAAGCATTTTGTTACTGAGCATTGGTATAGTATTGGAGTATGTGCGGTATTGGTCAATTACGCTGTTCTACGTCAAGAACATCCGTTCTCTTTCTCCAGAATTCTTTCACTCTCTCAGTGCAATCTTAGTCCAACGTGTTTCACTTTCCTTCAACATGCCCTACTTGGTAGTTGATTTCTTGTTCCCCGTTTTCATTTGAATACTCCTATGTGTTCAAATCCAGTGAAAATTGGTATATCGGTGCGAAACAATAAAAAAGGTGTTGACGCACTGATGAAGATAAAAGCTCTGGAGCTGATGAATCAATGAACTCAACTAACGAGAGACATCGTGTGCTCAAAGCAGAGTAATTATTGGAGAATTTTGTTCATAGTTAGGCAAAGCCATAGAGAAAAGAACCGTTTTATCCAACTTGCCGCAAAATGCGGTGACGCAGCTACAGTAATCATGCTTACGCAGCGATGTCATCAACGACATGATGATGAATGAATTTTCGTGCTGACGAGGACTGTTGACAAACTCTTTAGATGTTAATGTTTGGTATAGTGGAATGCGGTGCTGTAAGATACTTCATCAAGCCGAAAGCATGTCAAGTTTCGAAAGAAGGAGCCGGTGCGATTACAGTATCATATCTACGTCTCCAGAAGTAGTGTGAACACTGGTCGGATTATGATTGAAAAAATTAGAATGCGTAATTTATGTACACAGTGCCACGACCACCTATAATTGTTATCATGACTTTGTAATTGAGATGTCAGCAGTAACTGCGGATCCCGTGCTTTTATTGCTTTTATTAAACTTCATTGTTCCAATCAGTACCGTATGAAAGACCTGAAGTGTAGTGGTGGCTGCGATCGTTGCATCAGTGTTGTAGTGACCGTTTCATCACTTATTACTTCTTGACTTCGTAGTAGTTCAGTGGTGAAATAATCGGTTGAAGTGAATATCAGGTAGTGTAGAGATATTGATTAGTCGCTGTTGTTTTGCTGGACTCTCGAAGGTGGGCCTGTATTGTGATGTTTACTATTTGACAGTTCTGTAATATATAAACAATTGTCCCTTAACATTTGAGAGGCTGTGACCGAGAATCAAGGAATAGAAATTGTAATTTTATGGTACTACGAAGATGAATCCGCGACTTGGGTTCTGCATAAAAACGGTGGGGCTGTCTTGCTCCTTTGAATGCTGTGCCACACAGTGTTGAAGTGTTTGCTTGGTTCAATTTGTATCTACTCGTTTGTTGCCAGGCGGGTCTTGTGATGGTTGCCTTTATAACTTGAATCTGAAACTTGGGTAATTAAGCCGTTTATAACAAGAGTAATGCAACAATAGCGATATGACAGAAACGAGACAGTATAAACGAGAGAATTATAATAAGATAAATAAATGAGGATTAGATAGTTAGTAAGGAGCTACCTTGAGGTGAATAGCTGTATTATAGCCTATTGGATTATTATGAGAAAGAGGTTTGACATAAAGTACAATTTGACCACGAGAGGTAAGGAGCAAGCAGTAGCGTGGGAAAAATCAGGACCAAATGGCTAGTAGCGCGACAGGGCTACTGTAGTGGACTGCTTTACTAATCTCAAATAGATTAGAACAATAAAAGTATAATAAGATTAATATGGTAACAGACACATCGCTTGTATCATCTAGTAACTTTAACGCGTAGTTTATTATTAAGATGGCTGCAAATGTCTTGCGCAACAGTGAAAATCTCAACAGTTTTTGCTCTATCTGTATTCGGTTCTTCTCCAATTTCTTATCCAGTCGACAAATACATGCACTATTTGTTAAATCTTCTCTATGGTTTGTTAGAGGAATTAGGGTGAGTTACCGTAAGAAGGTCTGTGTCCAATTCCGTATCGGCATTTCGATTCTTTTCGCCTGATTCCATCTTCGTTGCTATCCATTTTTAACCAATACAAGGCGATTTTTTTCATTTACTGGGAATAATATTGTTGCAAGTACTGTATGCTAAATGACAACCTATGGCTAAGTCATGTTGTCTTCAGAAAATTCCCACCTGACTTGGGTTTGTGAGAGATTTGCGAACCTTAAAATTATGTTACTGCCGGTCATCGTCTTATATATGGGCATTCATCTCCAATGAGTTATATCGTTCATAAGTGACAACTAGCAACCATAACAAACATTGGACTTGATAAATTGTCTAAGTTAACCACTTCTATAGAAGCGCATTTTTTATTGGTGCATGTCGATACGGATCTCATTAAATGGAGGATTTAGCTTGTTGCCAAGTGGGATGCTTGGCACGTAAATATTATATGGGGTGGCAGGAGATTGGACGAGTACTAAAACATCCTTGAGCTCCAAGGGCGGAAATAAATTCTGGGACAGTATTCCTGTTCCTGCTGTGCAGGATTGGCATAAAATTTCAGTCCATACATTTTTCCACATATGTGTGGCCTGGAGGGCGTGTAGCGCACTGGTCGGAGGCTTTTTGTAATACACATAGGTTCGCTTACTGGGCCACAGCCCATCAAGCCTGTTGGGACGGCTCGTTGTTATTGGAATACCAAGTAGTTAGAACAATTCGGTCGGAATTAGCTGCTCGCCTTTGTGTACGCCACGCGGGACTTCTTGTGATTAGCAGTCACAATGCCAGACACCCCAAACTTGGGTAATTGAACCGTTTATCATAATTATACAACAATCATAACAATAAAACTCTACAGATAATGCAACAATGATACGGGTTATGAGTAGGCGCAGCCTGATCACTGGTGTTCAGGTTGCTTATGAGCAAAGAGATTGGCATAACAGTACAACTGTGTAATTAATGCAACCGTGATACGATAATGTGTGATATTTGGCGATATGTAAGCTGGGTGGATAAGAGCGGGATTGAAATGATAACAAGTGATACACTTGAAGGAATTAACGCGGACACTGGTGTTGGAGCACTGAGGAATTGAGGAACCGGAAGCAGACCGATCGAACGCGGCTAACACTTCAGGACCAGTCCTATGGGCTACCTGTATTACATCTGTAGTGGGTGGAGCTTTGCCAGAGAGAACTAAAGACGGCGTCCAGAGAGGGGTTCTAAAGGTTTTTCTACTAGCACAATTTGATAGGGCTGCATGTGGAAGGGTGCAGGTGTCTGTTCGGAGACCTTTTTGGAACGAGAGATGCTGAAAAGTACATTCAGCTGACTGCTACTGATTCCCTTTCCAGCCACCTGCGAGGCAATTGCGTGAAATGGTTGCTAAGAGATGATTTACCGAATTTGCGAGAATATATGTATGACGATTACAAATAGACAGGTGTTGTAGAAGGCATAAAGTTATAATTGTTTTACATAGAGAACATTCCAATATTCGTGAAGAATGTTCTCTATAAAGCCCTTCATCCCTCCGGAGTCGGCATATTGGTACCAGACTTGTCTGGGAGGATAGCAGCACTGGGTCGATACATCGTAGGCCACCGCAATTCATCGCAAAGGCCAGATATGCATTCAATCACCTTCAACGATGCTTAACGAAGTCGAATGCATGGCACACCCTCAGGGATTGATCAACACTGAGAACAATGTAGGAACTGATCCTCGCCCTATTTCAGCACATTTTTACAGCGCGATTTAGCCTTGAGATTAAATATGCTCGTTATTCCTAATTCACTTGCATCGGTGGATCCTACTTCTTAAGGAAGAAATACCTCCTATATACCACTCAGTTCTCTCATTACGAGCTTTTATCCGATGTCATAAAATGTGCAAAAACCTATGTGGACGATGGATGAGACGAAAACAAATCGGATGCAAAAGTTCCGCTATCCACACAGCAGATGAGATGACGGATCATGTAAATAAATAAAATCGGCATAACGAATGTAAATGACCAGTTGACAAATAGTTTATCCGAAGTGTAAAGAAGGTACTAGCGTTCCGTTCGAATATACCAGTGTCTCAGTGCAAAGGAAGGCTGTTTCTAGTTCGCAACCTCAAAAGGTGTTCTATTGTCCAAATTAATCAAAAGCTATCTAGACAAAGTGATAGGTTTGGTCGTTTCCGTGGTTAAGCCAAGAATTTTTAAAAAGTAAGTAGTCAATGTAGAAGTTGAATAACCTTTTGACAGTTAAAGGGTTATTAACGAGTTTCATGTGCGAAAGTGGTGCCAGCCATATGTTTGAAAACTTGACAAAGTCAAATAAAAGCCTCGGTAGACACCACCTGCAGCGATTTCGTTTCCTCGATTTCACACTTCACACGTGGTATTGGCCTCCACTGACTGTTTCCAAATCTTTTTTGGTGAGCGCAAGACACCGACGAACTTCCTTCCACGTCGCATTGCAAAAATTGAGGGTAACAAGTTTGGCGGCGTATGGTGACTTGAGCAGAAAAGCCACTGCACCGTCACGCAATGACCAGTGAAGCGTTTTCTCATGAGTTTCGAAATTTTGGTGCAGTAAGCGTCATCAGGGTGAGTGTGGCGTGGTGGTCGGAGGCGCCCCGCAATACATACCTGTGATAGTTCCCAGACCACTAGGCCTTCCGAAGTCGGCTAAATTGGTGCCAGATTTGTTCTGGGAGAACAGCAGCATTGGCTCGATACATCGGTAGGACACCACGAGTTCTTGTAAATACCAGAAATGAATTTAACCACGTCAAACGATGTTTAATGAGGTCGAATGCATGGCGCCATCCCTAGGGAAGTGGTCAAAGGCGAGAGTCTTATCCTTTATTTTTTTAAAATGTCATCCATTCAGCTTCTAAATACCGATTTCCTTCCATCACGATGTGTTCTACTGCTGCTTGGCTGTCCTTTTTCAACACGATTGTCATCATGTTTAACGTTTTGTTTTCTGCCTTCTATAATTTTCATGGCAGGTTACTAAGCTAAATACAACCACAACGTTGCTGAGATATTTGCAAAACTCTAAACCGCAGGTGTCTATGGTGGGGAACGAACGCGCTATTATCCTTTCCGGGGAGTAACGCGTTCACCACCGCACCATGCGGGTCCTTTG